CGCGGTTGCGACACCCGCGGCGGGCGGGGGGGGCGTAGGGGGGGTCTCACCTGCGCACACGTTTTGGGATCTTTTACGCTGTTTTCCCTACCCGGCTGCAGGCTGCGAAGGGATTAAATATCGCTGATATTTTTAACACACCCACCCCACCCCCGGGTGCCCGCAGCCGGCGATGCGGCGGCTCCGGCTTTCCCGGGGAGGGACACACGTGGGAGCTGCGGGTTTGCGGGGAATTTCTCGCAGCCCGGGTATCACCGGGGGCCGAGGCGGGGTTTTAAAAGGCACGAACAGCCCCGGGGTCCACGGTCCCTCTCTGGGAGATTTCTTACTCGGGGTCTGCTCGCTCGAGCAATATTAATTGTGTCCTTTAATCCTTTAATTTCTCCAAAGAGTGTTAAAGGCAGGGCGGAGAGCGAGGCACAGCGGCTGCCCGGGAATTTGGGCTTATACTTCAGGTCTAAAAGCTGCGCCTCCCAGTGCAGATGAATTTTTATAACAGTCATTCTGAAACTTCATGGATCAGCCAGGTTTTATTCCTGTTAAACCTCCCGGTCGCTTTGCACCATTAATTGATATCTCATGCTCCTGCCTCGCAGATCTGATGGGGTTTTGTCGATCTCCAGGAGCTCGGCGGTCCCCCCGAGCAGTACCCACGTCCCCAGCCGCAAGCAAAAGAGGCAGATCCTTTTTTAAATATAGCAAAAAAATAGATTTATCCTGCCCTAATGTCCTCAGGCGGGTTTCAGGCGTTTATTGCCGACACCGCTGAAACGGAGTTAAGGGTGTTGGGCAGCTTTTGGTCAAAAAAAGGAGCTTTTCCTTCAGATGGGGGGTGCGTTGGTGGGTGTTTTAATCGCAGCCGGCCGGCTCAGAGGGACTCGCCTGGTGAAATCCGTGCAGAGGCTGGTAGCTCAGAAGCCGGGGGCTTGGCACCCTCTCCTGGTGTGTGCCCAGATTGCTGGGCTCCCCGGGGCTGCCCCGAGAGGAAAGCGACGGGCAAAGAATTTGGACTTTACAGCTGAATTCACGGAGAAAACATCCAGGATAAAATGCCGCACTTACACCTGGGGGCAGCCTTTGGGCTTCGTGGGGGAGGGTGTCTTATTCATGCATTTAAAGATGTTGCACATGATTTTTGTCCTGTAACTTCCAGGGAAGTTTTGGAGGGACAAAAATCACGCCCAGACTTGTTTTTTCCCAGTGTCCCTGGGTTGCAGCAAGACCTGACTGTCACGTGCTGCATCTCTTCTCACACCCTTTGAGGCATTTGCAAAAAAACAAAAGAGAAAAAAAGCACGAAGGGAGAAACAGAGAGATTGGTTTTAAACTGGATTATTATTTTTTTTTTAACTTGGTTTTTATTCAAGTATTTACGACACCAGAAATGGCTAAGAATTTGGGAAAAACACTGTGAAATGGAGAAAGGTCATCTGAGGTGAGTCCCACACAGCACTGGTGATACCGCCTGGATAGACAAGGTAGGGATGATCAGGTTTGTTGCCAGCAAACTGGAATAATTGCAGAGTGGCCCGAAAGCTCTGCAGAAAAGGCAGAAAAGGAAGAGCCTGCAGCTGGGCTGGGGCAGAGGAAAAGCTGCAGGAACTGCTGTGAGGGCTCTTCTGTTTCCCATGTCTGTGCTCCTGCTCACTGCTCCTTCCCTGGAGCTCAGATGCCCAGAGATCGTCAGGAGTAAGGTTTGTTTGGGGTTGGGTTTTTTTCCCCATTTTTTTCTGTGTTATACTTCAAGGTTCAGGTTTTTACCCACCCAGAGGGAGAGAGAAAACCCTCACCCAACCGCCAGGCACAGAGGAACAAACCTTCCTCCTTGGGCATGTGCTCAGTGGAAGGAGACAAGGAGGGACCACAATATTTTAATAAAATCAGATAACTTTTTTTGCCAGGCTGGGACGGGGGATAATTCCCTTCTTTGAAATCCTCAGCACAGTTAAGAAGCCAGTACCAACCCTTCCATTCCCATCAAGGTTAATGGACTGAGGTCAGCCACATCCCAATTTGCCATGAATTTTATGTGTGCATGCAGCCGCTTGTTTTCCCTTTAAAAAAAAAAAAAAGAAAAAAAAAGAAAAAAAATAAGAGAGAGAGAAAAATACAAGTCTGTAGTTGAAGCTGCTGTGATTGCAGTTTTGGAGCACCCCTGCTGTAATGGTATCAGTCTCATCTTCTCAATTTTACAGCTTCCCCAGCATCCTGTTGTGCAGTGGTACATGTATGTGCTGCGTCTGTCCCACTCTTCCCCACCATTAATTCCTGGGTTCTTAGTGATTAGTATTTGGATTACTTATTTTGCAAGTTCATCTAAGAAGTCTAATTATTTGCTTCAAACAATATTCTGCTATTATTTAAAATATACAATTTTTAAGCTTGTAGTGTGTTCCTTATATATTGTTGATTCCAGAGTAAGATCTGGACTGTTAAAGCCCATAGTCATATAGTTGTTATTATTTGTATTCCCACAGTAGCGAGAAGTCTATGTACAAGATAGAACCCCAACATCATGTAAATACATGTAAATAAATGAACAGACTGTCCCAAAGATGTGAGAAATGGCAATGGCCTGTAACACGATTTGTTACATTTGTGTTTTAAGATGTGAGAAATGGCAATGGCCTGTAACATGATTTGTTACATTTGTGTTTTTCTGAACGCTGTAACTGAGCGGAGCCGTTCCCTGTGATTAATTATCTGAGTCAAAGATGCCAAGCTATCAACAAGGTCTCGTTCTGCTTTATTAATTCTGTCCAAACAAGAGCATCCCATTTAAATATTTTCAAATATTAAATTTTGTTTGTTTTTCTGGCTATGGAGAGGGAAAAATCACCAGGCACTGAGACTTAAAATGTTTTAATTTAGGGAGGTGTCCCCCAGCTTCTCTGATGTTGGCCAATCTGTGTCCTGAAGTCATATTTCAACTGATTGCTCAGATAATTAATCTGTCACGTTCTGTTAAAAACTCCACAACCTGATGTTACTCGTGCTTCCAGTTCAGATCTCCAGGGTCCAAGGCTGAGTGACTAACTGTGGATTGGAGCTTCAGCCCTTCTGCACATTCCCCAAAAGGGGAGAAAATTTCAGTCCAGGAAACGTAATTCATGCCAAACATGCTCGTAGCTTGAGGCTTCATCAATTATCTAGAATCTGATGCAAAGGTAATTGAATTATCCCAAAGACTTTGACAGGTTGGATGAGGTTTTTGGAAAAGGAGCTGCTGCTTGAAAATTAATTGCAACGTAGAAGGTCTTCTTCATTGAGTGTGACGGGGGATGCCTACAATTCCCCCACCCCAAAATCTGGTTGCCAGCTGGCCAGGCTCCTGACAGCCCCACCTTATTGATGGTAGCCATTGTCACTTTGCAGCTGGTCCTGGAGTGAAAGGGTCCGCTCGGCTTGAAGCAGATAAGCATAGTTAAATAAATCTGTTAGAAAATGTTCCTGCTTCTGCCACTGCTCAGCCAGGGGGGCAGCATCAGCCGGGCTTGGTGCTGGTAGAAAAAAGATCAACACGTGAGGTCAGGAAGAGGGTCCAGAACATGGACTCCCTGGGGAATTTTACCACAAATTGTGACTTACACAGCCTGGCAGACCAGGACTCGGTAACACATTGTGTCCTGCTTCAGCCCCAACACATACATTGAAACCTAGAGCTTGATCTGCAAAACAGACCCTTCAACCACACACAGCTACGTGGAAATAAAGAGAAGGCTGTGCGCCACGTACTGGAGATCAGACTGGTTGGGTTAGGGCTGTCTTTATGCTGCCAGTTATGATGTTATTATTATGCGTGTCTGTAGAGGACTGAATGCAAACTTTTTTGACAGAACACGTTCATTTAGTGTTCCCTGAGTCATCCCCTTCTTTCAAATTTGCTCACCTTTTCAATATTTCAGTCTATTACCAGCCGCTTAGATTATGTGCCAATTAAATAATTCCATTCATTATGCAAAAACCATATGTAATCGTTCATTATCCTCAAACCAGCCTCTGGGCACGGGTACAAAAATGTAGCAAAGAGCATCAGTTAACAAAAATAATATCAAAAGAGAAAATGCAGTTGCTACAGGGTGTTGATCAGCTGCAACATCCTGCCCAAGAGATGTCTTCGTCGCAGTCCTGAAAAAAAACCCATATACCTTTTATGCAATTTACAATTTATGAGTCTTAATTACTGAGTGTTTGCAAAGAGCTATGGAACACTGGGATGAAAGATGTTGCAGAAATGTATGTAATGATTATTAATTATGTAATTTTCTCATGGCTCAAGCACCAAGGGCAGGAACAGTTACGTCGCAGAGGGATGACACTGCATCGATCCATCGTGACACGGGGATGTGAGAGGAAGAGCTGCAGCCGCCTCCTGCGGCCCCTGCACCACCTGCAGGGCTTGTTGCGGGACAGAAAAGAGCCTGAAGAGGAATCGGGCTGAGACTTATGTGTTTGGAAAGTGAATTCCTGTCCGGGATGGAGCGTCAGAGCCCACGGGAAAGTGGACACTGTGTTTCTTCCACGCTCACCGTCGCTGGAGTTCATTGCCCTCAGCTGGGTCTCCAGCACCCGCGGTGATTTCCAAGGCGTGAGCTGTCGGGTTTGCTGTGTGTGAGCTTGGGAGAGCTGTGCCTCAGTTTCCTCACACATAGACCAGAATTTATAGGAACAGTCTTTATAAAGTGTAAAGCCTTTGTATCATATACCGCTCTACAAAGATCAATGTAAGCAGCGTGTTATAACTACAGACGTCCTTTGTAGCTGAGAAAAGAGAAGATTTGCCTCAGGAGGATAATTAAGAGGGTTCTTGTGGCAGGACTGGGGACGCAGACGGAACTGACTGATCAGGCAGTCGGCTTCCCAGCACCCCCGCAGCGTCCCCACATCCTGACCAGCCCCATGCTGCCGAGCAGGGTTTTCTGGTTACACCGCGCCGGTGGCCGGGTGGTTTGGGATGGAAGGACGGGGATGCGGGAAGCCCCGCCACGTCTCTGGCACCACAGGGATGCACCCCCCAGTGCCACCACGTACCCCATGTGTGAGGGGGTGGCTTTTGCTTGCAGACCCGCAAGGACCCATGGCTTGTGGCTGCCTCCATTGGGACGGCAAAGTCCACACACCCCACGGCGGTGCTCAGATGTGGGGTCTGAGGCTGTCACCTCTCCTCTGTCACAGCCCCTGGGGCCAAAGGGGACATTTTGGGCCCATGTCTCCGAGTTCTCCAGGGTGGCTTTGCACATCAACCCAGCTCTAGCCAGCCCTGCCATGCCACTTCCCCCTGCCCTTCAGGACAGGCTGTCACCCTTGGCCCACGGGACGTGCCCAAATTGGCGCGGAGCCTCCCCAAAACACCACCTCCAGGCCCTCCTGCCCTCAGCCAAGATGGCCGACCGCGCCTCACTCCGCCCGGTGCCAATAGCCCTGATCAAAGATGGCCGCCCCCGGGCCGCGGACCCCCTGAGCTTCTTGCCCTCATCCAAGATGGCCGCCCCCACGCGCGGATTGGCTGGTCTGCCCGGGCGGCCATGTTGAGTGAGGCGGGGGCCGCGGCCGCATCCCGTCATGCTCTGCGCGCCGCCGGCCGCCCGGAAGAGGGAGCGGGGCAGTTGTTGACAACATGGCGGCCGCTGGCGCCTCCGCGGGAGGAAGAGGCGGAGGGAGAGGCGGCGGCGGGCGGAGGAAGGAGTCTCATTCATAGGGAGCCCGGCTCGCTGCCCTCGCCCTTTCCCTCCCCTTCTTCTTCCCCCCCCCTCCCCAGCGGCCGCCTCGCCCCCTCCCCGGCACTATGTCCTTCTTCAGGCGGAAAGGTAGGGGGGCGGCGGGCGGGAGGCCCGGGGCTGAGGGGCGGCTGCCGCCTTCGTCCCCAGCACGGCTGCTGGGCCCCGGCCCTGCCTCTCCGGGGACGGCGACCGGGCCCCGAGAGGAAGCTCGGCCCCTGAGGAGCGAGCTCTCCGCAAACCACGGTCAGTCCCGGCGCCTCCCGGGCCCTTTTCCTCCCTCAGGGTTCGGGGAGGAGGTCGGGAGGGGGGGCCGGGGCTGTGCGGGGATGGCCGCGGCGGGGCCTCGGGGTGTCGGCCGTGGTCCCTCTGCCCGTCGGGGCTCTGGCGGCGGCCCCGGGCAGCCCCCTCCTTCCCGGGGCCGCTTGGGGAGCGGCTGCGGCGGCTTTGCCCTTCCTCTGCACGGCGGAGCCTTGCGGTGCTGGAACGGGGGAGCCGTGCAGGTCGCTGGGCTGGGAGAAAATGTCTCGCTCCTCCTGCAATTTTTGAGCCTCTCTCACTGTTTGCAGAGAGATATTTTTTCGCAATCAATGGTTTCATAAACATATAATAAGCTGCAGCTAAAGACCCTAATTGAGAAAGGGAGCTCATCGCACTGAGTTCTTCATAAAAGCCCAAGGGGTCATTGACAGTTTATTTTTCTAATATGTTTGTTGATGTTCTGGAACACGAGCTAAGATTTAATATCTGGGACTTCTGAAATATTTATAATATTCCTGCAGCACAAATGGATGTAGTTTAAATGTTCTTTGAGAGTGAAACATTTTGAAGGCCCTTGTGCTACAGCCCGTGATGAACTGTGGTGTGGTGCACTTTCAATCTGCACAGTGTGTGGTTTGAGTGGTTTTTGTTGAAGGTGGCACCTTTTAGGCAGGGCCTCTTGGGAAAGTAGCTCTGGTATCTCGTAATGCCGTTGTTCGAGCATTACGACCATCGCTTTCCCAAAGCATTTCTCAGTTACTGAAGCCCAAAATGTGTCCCCTGGGAGGCGAGGCTGTAGGTTAGGAGGAAAGAACGTATTATCTGAGACAGTGTTTTTGCTCTTGACAGACACATCCCGATGTAAACTTGCTCAGCCAAAGTAGCAGCAACAAAAATTTAATTCTTTGTAGAGGTTAGCGCAGTAATCCTGGAAGAAACGAGTTTAAACTTCTGCTCATATCAATAGTTCTGAAGATTCTTGAAGTCCACTGGAGGTGTTTTGCAAGTGCCATAATCCTTTTTGGGGTGTTTACATACTGATGTTGAGCTGCAGAATAAAACTTTCATACTGCTTATAAACTACTCAAAACCAGCTTCTGCTGCTTCGTGGATGGAGAGGATTGTGGAGCTGATGGTCCCTCCTGATGCGTAATTGTAGGAACGGCGTAGGCTTTGGCAAAAATTTTCTCAGGGAGAAAGTAATGAAACGTCTCGTTAAGTATCTGTTTGTGTTGCTTTGATTAAAGGATCTTTGGTCAGAGAAGCACCGTCAGAACTAAATGCCCAAGAAAGGCGCTGGTAAGGAGAGGAGAGACGAAAGCTTTCATCTGGGTTGTACATAAAACAATATTGTTCTGTATGATCTCCATTTTAGATACTGGCTTTTAGAGAAGATCTTAAACTGCAGCCGGGAGAGAAGCGATACATTAAGGCTTGTGATAAAACTCTGCAGACTAGACACATGGAGTCCAAAACTGCGTCGGTGTTCTTGGGTTGAGCTTGTGTTGTTTAATTTTTATCTAGTGCAATATCCCCTTAAGCTTTTTAAAAATCAAATCATAGTAAAGATCACAAAACTACCAACATGTAGAAAAATTAAAGCCAGTAGTGAAATGATTTGTTAGCACAGGCCTTAAAAAAAGGTTTAGAAAGCCAAGGGTGGATGATGGGTTGAAAAATTGAACTATGGCAGTTGAGCTCACAGGCCGGTGCTTGAAGGCAGGTTGTGAAATTGTTATCAATGAAAGCAGCCAGACCGTGTGCTCCTTCAGTAGGGATATCTTGGAAAAAACATACCCAGCCCTGCAGCTGGCTGACCTCTGAAATGAGAGATTGGTTTTTGTGTGTGTACACGTGTGAACAGTTCAGGTTTGTTCATTCTTCTGCATTTCAAGGTGTGAATTAAGTCTCAAGTCCCACGTGGCCACATTGCATCGGTTTGATGCGTTACCCCTTTGTGAATGGGGTTTGCTGCTGGGAATCCTTACCCACTCTGTCCTGGGCCACCACGTACCGCAGTTATCTCTCTGGCTTCACACAGACACCAAGTGACATCCGTTTCTTTGAGGGAAGTGAAAGTAAATTTCTTCAGCGAAACTTTAGTCTGCAAATTTGGTCTTGTCACGTATGGGAGTTCTCTTTCGTCCTCTGCTTTAACTGCTTCATTGTGTTCTGCTTGAAGCCGATGGGGACAAAAGAAGGCTGTGTATGAGGAGGTCAGGGACATGAACTGGGAGTTTGATTACCAGTAGTAAGTAGGTAATTAGAGAGGAACTGAGTAGTTGGTAAGAAGGAACAGATATATTTAAACTGAAAATAGGCTTATGGAGGACTCTTCAGTTGAAACTCAGGAATCGTTGCCAGTAGTTAGGAATTGGTTTGATAAATCAACTATTGGAATAATTTTGGAAAGGTAAAGGTTCATAATACTGTATAGGGGTAACTTATTCCCGTTGTACCTCAGTGTTCCTTCAGACAAGCAGGTTTTTTTCAGTCCTGTGTATCAGCACGCCCTCCGTTATGTAAAGTCTGGTTATTCTCACTGCTCACAGCTGCAAGAGTTCAGCTTTAAAAGAATCCAGCTCCATTAACGGAGGCTTAAACCTCTCTACAGGAGAGAGCCTGTGCTCGCTGCCAGCTTAAATCTTAAATGCTGAGTTGCTGGTTCTCAGACCTGCAAGGTTTCTGGTCCTCGCGGGGACGGCTGGAGCTCAGCCGTGCCGCAGCCACCGCCGGCAGGACCATTATGTAAGCAGAGATTGACGTTTCCCTTTAAAATATTTAAAATACTTGGGTCAGAATAGGAAGGTGGTTTTTTTAAAAATCTGCTCGTGTTTTGTGATGTAAATGTTGGGTTGTGCTGGGTCATGATCTGTGGAGCCCTCCCAACCCTGACCACAATCGGTGTTCAAAGATGACCTATTTGTAGTAACAATCCCAGCCTGGAGCAGCCGGAGAAGGTTTTCGATATCACCACTGAATTTGTTTCTCGTGCCATCCTGTTTATGTTCTCCTTCGGTTTCTTTATTTTTGTTTTAAGCGGATCTCCTCACTTACTTCCTCTAGGAATTTCCTTTAAAAAGTAATAATTGGAAAAAAAACCAAAACAAAAAAATGCTTTTCCATCACAACTTTTTTAAACTATTATCTTCCCATCAGTTGCTTGCCGTAGGTTCAGTGATAGTTAAGCAGTATTATTTGTGAGAGAATTAACTATTTGCAGTGTGTTTCCAGAACGTTTCTGTGGTATCTGTCATGGGCTGGCTCTGGCTTTGTGGATCTCTTTGGCTGTGTGCGTTGCGCTGCTCTTCCTGTGATACGAGGGAGATCCTCTGTGATTTTTAGTTCATAGAGAGTATCTGCCAGTGCCCTACACCTAAAACCATCTATCCCAGTCTTCCCAGTTAATGCTGTTTATTAAAGTAACCTTGAATGTAGCCTTGCTTTAATCATGTGGACAGCAAGCATCTTTCTTGGTGTTAACATACTGTATTCCATTAAACTTAATTCACAGGACTTTGGTTTTGAAAAGAAACCAACCACAAAAGCTTTGAAAGCCTCTGTCAGTTACGAGATGTGCTGATTTAAATAAGAGAGATCAGTTTTAATAAAATGATAGTTTACATCTGCCTCTGATACTTGCTGAAGTTGGGAATTGTACGTCCATTCTCTGGTAAATGCCATTAGTCACCCAAAATAGCATTCATGTTTTCCTTTGTATTTTACAGTGAAAGGCAAAGAACAA